TGCCTCCCGAGTGCTGGGATTAAAGGCGTGCTCCACCACTGTCCGGCTCAGTCTCTGTTTTCAGTCTCTGTTTTCTAAATTACTAGTAGTCCTCACTGGGGTCACCCTGATAGTTTCCAGGAACTTTCCACTGTACTGATTCCATGTCCCCTGCTAAAATATACACTTTTCCAGTCATTTTTCCATGTCTTTTCCCGCTTTGCCCCTTCCTTACTCACCTGACCTTATGTGTTCCCATTCCCCCCTGTCTCAAGTGCACCCACAAAATATATTCTATTTCCTCTTCTCAGGGAGATCGATGCATCCCTCTTAGAGCCATTCTCATGATTTAGCCTCTCTGCATCTATGGATTGTACTGTGATTAACTGTGTTTACTGTGATTGGACTTTAATTAACTGCTAAAGCCCACATATAAATGAGTATACGATGTTTCTTTATGTACTTTTTGGTTGCCTCACTCAGGATAATAAAGAAGTCAAGAAACTAGATAGCAACAAACCAAATAATCCAATGATAGTGGGGTATACCTCTAAACAGAATTCTCAGTAGAGGAGTATAAAGAAGCTGAGAAACACTTGAAGAAATGTTCAGCATTCTTAGCCATCATAAAATACATATCAAGAGTACTTTGAGCTTTTGTCTTACACCTGTCAGAATGGTTAAGATCAACAATACAACTGACAGCTAATGCTGGCAAGGGGATTTATTGCTGTTGCAAGTGAAAACTTGTATAGTCACTGTTAAAATCAATATGCAATCCTCAGAAAATTGGGAGTCAGTCTACACCAAGACCCAGCTATGCCAGGCAGTGGTGGTGCACACCTTTAATCCCAGCACTCAGGAGGCAGAGCCAAGTGGACCTCTGTGAGTTCAAGGCCAGCCTAGTCTAAAGAACAAGAGCCAGGCCAGACACCAAAACTACACAGAGAAACCCTGTGTCAAAAAACAAACAAGCAAAAAAGACCCAGCTATACCACTCTTGAGCATATACCCATATGATGGTCCTACCACAAGGAAAACTGCTTAACTAGATTCATAGTAGTTTTATTCATAATAGCCAAAAACTGTTTTGTCTGAGAGATTTTGCTGATTGATGATTGAAATGAGAAGGCTCCTCTACCTAGGGTAGCAGGGATGGCTACTCCACCTGGGGTGGCAATATCCTTAAGAAAGTGGACCTGGACCCAGGCAGTGGTGGTGCATACCTTTAATCCCAGCACTCAGGGGACAGAAGCAGGCAAAGCTCTGTGAGTTTGAGGCCAGCTTGGTCTACAGAGTGAGATCCAGGACAGGCACCAAAACTACACAGAGAAACCCTGTCTGGAAAAATCAAAAAAAAAAAAAGAAAAAGAAAAAAGAAAGACCTGGGCTAGACAGGCAAGAGAGCACCAGGAAGCAAGCTTTGCCCATGGGTTTTGCCTTCATTGTTAGCTTGAGTTTCTATCCTAAGCTCCCAGAATGATGGAGTGTGATCTGACACAGTCAGCCAAACAAACACATTCATTGCCTGAGATGTTTTTGGTTAGAAGATCTAATCACAGCAGCATAAAAAGCAAGTTAGAACAAAACGGAACACCAAAGGTGTTCCTAGGTAGGACCTGGGAATGTTTTCTTTTGAAAGAATGTGAAAAATATCAGGACTTTAGGTGGCAAAAATCATAGAAAGTTGCACAAAGAACTTTATCGGCCTGTCTTGTATGACCAGGAAGATATTGAGATTATAGAATTTCAGTTAAAATTAGAATCAATAAAAATTAAACTAGAGGTCATTTGTGTAATATTTTTGGCTCAAAAATCTTATTTGGCCCATACCCTGAAAATTTAGTAATGCATGATTAAAAATTAATGGACTAGTTTCTTAAATAGAATCTGCTAGATGTTTATTACTGATGAGACATTCAGGTCTACAGTGGTTAAAAAAAACAAGTGTGGTAGAAATAAACGAAAATGAAAAGGTAGTTTCAGATGGCAGTCCAGTGCTGAAATAGGTGGGAATTTTCTAGGAATTTATGGCTATTACAGAGAAGGCCCTTGCTATGGAATGGAAGCCTAGCAAGGTGTTCTAAGGGTAAGACTGCATCCAGCTACACCTTCAATTCATAGAAGGAGTAAGCAAAGTAATTCTTAGTCCTAGGGAGCAATTTCATACAAAACCTGTTGCACCTGTGGTCCAAGCATGTTAGATTCCATCCCAATTAAGTCAAATTTTGGAGGATCACCCATCATCTACTGGTCCTGGAAACAAGAAGAAATCAAAATTTAAGCTATGGATTCTTGGTCTGGGGGTTTGGTTCAGCATTGTTGCAGGCATCTATGTTTGGCAGAGTCAGAAACCCAGTGAGGAGACTGTGAGAGTTCATTGCATGAAGCTATGAGGATGTGGCCTGGTGTTGTTGGTTTTAGTTTTTTAACTCCTTATTCTTTTGGGGGGCTGCTACTCAGCTCTCAAATAAATCACACATAGGGAGGCTTATTCTTTCTTATAAGTGCCTGACCTTAGTTTGGGTGGTTTCTAGCCAGCTTTTCTAAGCTTAAATTATCTCATCTACTTTATGCCTCTGGGCTTTTACCTTTGTTCTATTCTGTATATCTTTCTTTACTTCTTACTCCATGGTTTGCTGTGTAGCAGTGTGGCTGGCCCCTGGTGTCCTCTCCTTTCCTTGCTCCTTCTTCCTTTTTTCTTTTCACTTTTCTCCTCCCATTTATTCCCTCTGTCTGCCAGCCCTGCCTATCCTTTCCTGCCATGCTATTGACTAGTCAACTCTTTATTAGACCAATCAAGTATTTTAGACAGGCAAAGTATCATAGCATCACAGAGTTAAAAAATGCAACATAAAAGAATGAAACACACCTTTTCATAATTAAAAACAATTGTTCCACAGCATAGAAAAATGTAACACATCTTAAAATAATATTCCATAACAGCCTGGATTGCATTTTGTGACCAGATGATGTTGGGATTCCTAAGGTATGAGACATCTCCCATGGAGACCTAGCTGCATATAGGAAGTGGAAGTAACCAAATAGAGAGATGTATAAGAAGTTGAATGGATAGGACCATCTGAGCCATTTGAAACTGAATTCCCATGCATATGAGACAGAGACAGAGTTATTTGATGTCTGTCCTCCTGTGCTTCTGTCCTGCCCTGGTCCAATCTTCCCTTACTATGTATCCACTTCTCTGTTTTGGAATGTGAATGGTATTCTGTGCCATTGTATGTTGGAAAGATATAACTCAGTTTCTGATTTTACAAGATGTCACTGTCAAGAGTTTGTCTTGACTTTCAGAAGAGACTTTGGACTTTTGAAACAGTGTAGGGGCTATTGCAGACTATGAGAATAATTGAAGTGAGTAAATATATTTTCTTCATAGATGACCATGAGCCTATAGTCAGAATGTTGTTGACTGAATGAAAAACCTCCCAGATACAATGATGTATGTGAACATGTGTCTCTCCTTGGTGACTTTCTTTTGATTGCAGCTTTAGTAGGGAGAGCCTTTTGGGATGATATTCCTCACTAGGTGTGTGATATGAATGTCTATAGCCTCAACCAATTTCTTGTTCTTTGTGTTTACTGTATTGTGGTTGAAACTAATCAGATAGCTTCCTTGTATTGTCATGCCTTCACCACCATTATAGACTCTATCTCTAAATCACATAAGATACAGTAGAAGCAAATGCTATTCGGTGCTAAGGCAGTTTGTTAACCTGCTCTTTTATTTATTTATTTTTTGGTTGTTTTTGAATACAAGGTTTGTCTGTGTAGCCCTAGGTGTCCTGAAAGGAGATGTGTATACTAGGCTGGCCTGGAATTCAGAGTTCCTCCTGACTCTGGCTCCCAAGTCCAGGAATTAAAGTGGGCCAACATTCCTGACTGTTTTGTTTTTATATTATTGGGTGATGGGCCTAGGATGTAGGTTATTGTGCAAGTCAAGCTTATGCTGTTGTACTGAGCTTCACACAAATCTTGAATTTTAAAATTTGGCAGAGAGAATCATTCCGCTTTCCAGAATGACATGTATTCATAATATTAATCATGCCTGAGCCTTCTGAGTCATTGGTTTGCAGGTGCATGAACTTCTTCCTGCCCATTGCATTTTTTTAGAATTTTTAAATGAATATGAGTATTTTACCTGAATGCATGGATATGCACTATGTTGGTTCCAGGTCCTCACAGTGATCAAAAGATGGTCTCAATAACCTTGAACTTGTAATAATGGATAGTTCATATCTCCCATATAAGTACTGGTAATTGAGCCTACTTCTATGCAAGACCAGCAAGAGCTCTTTAATACTTAGCCACCTCTCTTGCTCTGTGTTGATTGTTTATGATCAGCATTTATATGGCTAATATTTTCATTTGTTCATGTATAACTGTTTAAAATGCAGTGCCTTTTAGTAAAATCTTATTGATTTTACAGTTTGAATTTCATCACTTCAGGTTTCTTGAAGATGAATACAGAACTGGAGTGAATGCATAACTCTTTGTAGAAACTTCAGTAAAAACCTGAGTTCTTTCTATCTTTTTTTGTTCTACTGACATTGCTTGGGAGCAAGGTTCTTAATATGTCTTTCTAGGCTCTCCTAGACCTGATTGCATAGAATAACCTGGCATTCAACTCAGAGTCAGATATACCTGCCTCTGCCTTTTGAGGGCTGGGTTAAAAGCATGAGCCAATATACATAGTTTGTCCATCTTATTTTTCTTCTCTATAGTTAGTAATTATTCATACAATTTCTCCCATGTGTACTCTGTACTGTTGATCTGTTTGCTTCTCTGTGTGTTTGTTGTTCTAGTCAAAGGATACAGAAATGACATCGATGAATGTCCCCATTCAGTTTCCTTCTAAAGTGAATTGTTGATTACATTATCATGTCTATGTCATGAAACAAGTATAGGGACCACCAGTATTATATGACTATACTGTCAAAGAAGTACACATTTACAATGTTGTCAATATCATGCTTTCTGTTGTATACATGTATGGGATATTTTAGAATGCAGTGACCTATGATGATTTGCATGTTGACTTTACTTGGGAAGAGTGGACTTTGCTGGATAATTCCCAGAAGAATCTCTACAAAGATGTGATGCTGGAGACCTACAGGAATCTCACTATTATAGGTAATACTGAATTTTCCTTCTTGTTTTAGTAAAAGGGGATAACAACTCCATGATTATTGATGCTCATCTGTAATTTGATTGAGAAAGAAGAATGGGGTGAAGGAATCAGTCATGGTTCTTAGATTCACTGAAGATAATGACTTAAATTTTGCACAGTTTTCAATATTATAACATAATTTTTGGTACTATATTTTAGGATACAGTTGGGAAGACCATAATATTGAAGAACATTGTCAAAGTTCTAAAAGACAAGAAAGGTAATTATCTTGTGCAAGCTGATAAAAATGTACCTGTAAAGAAATTGTAATGTGTCCTGGAATTTTAAACAGAAGCAACAGTGTAAATGAGCATAGCTTAAACTTCATTGATAATTGTTAAATTCTCACAGAACCATATACTTCAATTTCAGGTAGGTGAATAGCATTTCCAAGGCATTCTTTTAAGAAAGAAGACTAGGAAGCAGGGCCTTAACATTTATCACATTTTGAATTGTAGCAACATTAGAGCTGTGCTGTAGAACTGTCAGTGTATTTATTTCACACTACTCATATTACAAAAGGCATTCACATTGAAGAGATGATAAGTATATCTCCAAAACCTTTTAATATGCAAATAGTCCATAGTAATGCTAGTGTAACTCATAAACTTGTTGTGACTTGCTTTTAGTGAGAGAGCAAGTTAGAGTCAGAGTCAAGGGGCATTGTTAGGGAGAAACCTTAATCCCTATACCACAAGTCTATGAGGACATAAAGTCAAACTGAATTCAGTGTGGAAACCTTTTTTTTGTCATTTTTCCTTTACTAGGTATATCATATGTCACTCTGGATACAAGCCATATCAGCATAGGGATATTAAAGATATAACATTTCCATGTCTCAGAACAATTAGAAGATACATAGCAGTCCCCATGTTGAGTATTCTTGTTGGATTTGATTCAAGTATACAAGTAATTGGTTTAATTGTTAAAACATCAATAAACCCACATGGCAGACAAGCTTTATGAGTATGAGGACTGCATAACTACCTTTGTTTGTACTAGTTAACTTAGCAAATGCAGTATGACTCACAGTGCAGGAAAATTTATGAATGTAATAGCATGGTAAAGCTCTAAGTTTTTCCAGTTCTCTTCAAATATGTAGAAATTCTCATATAGAAAAAAAGATTCTGTAAATGTGGATGATGTAATAAAGAATATTACCACCAAAGGCATCATAAAAGGTGCAGAACAACTCTTCATGAAGGGGAAGATGATTGAAAACACAGCGATAAAAGGTTAAGATCTAATTCCTCTTTATAATTAAATGTAAAATTACTTCATACAGATATAAAGATCAAACAGTGTATTGAATATGGTAAAGCATTTACATGTTCCGTTATTTTTTCAGGTATGAAAGAAGTCAAACTGCAGAGAAAACTTCTACATATACTCAATGTGTTAAAGCCTTTGTCCAACATAGTACACTTCAAATACATAAAAGAAAACATACTGGAGAGAAATCCTATGAATGTAATCAGTCTGGTAAAGCCTTTGCACAACACATTCATCTTCAAATGTACAAAAGAACACATAATGGAGAGAAATACTATAAATGTAACCAGTGTGGAAAAGCCTTTGGATATAATAGTCATCTTCAAATGCATAAAAGAACTCATACTGGAGAGAAACCCTATGAATGTAATCAATGTGGTAAAGCCTTTGCACAACACAGTAATCTTCAAATGCATAAAAGAACACATACTGGAGAGAAACCCTATGAATGTAATCATTGTGGTAAAGCCTTTGCATGTCACAGTAAACTTCAAAAGCATAAAAGAACACATACTGGAGAGAAACCATATGAATGTAATCAATGTGGTAAAGCTTTTGTGTGTCATGGTGCTCTTCAAAGGCATAAAAAAATACATACTGGAGAGAAATCCTATAAATGTAATCATTGTGGTAAAGCCTTTGCATATCATAGTCATCTTCAACTGCATAAAAGAACACATACTGGAGAGAAACCCTGTGAATGTAACCAGTGTGGTAAAGTCTTTCCATATCTTAGTCATCTTCAAAGGCATGAAAAAACACATACTGGAGAAAAACCCTATGCATGTAATCAATGTTCTAAAGGCTTTGCACAATACAGTCATCTTCAAAGACATACAAGAACACATACTGGAGAGAAACCCTATAATTGTAATCAGTGTGGTAAAGCCTTTGCACGTCATAGTATTCTTCAAAAGCATAAAAGAACACATACTGGAGAGAGACACTATGAATGTAGTGAGTGTAATAAACCCTTTGGGTGTCACAGTCATCTTAAAATGCATAAAAGAACACATACTGGGGAGTAACCCTATGAATGTAATCAGTTTGTTAAAGCCTTTGTATATATCAGTAATCTTCAAAATCATGAAAGAAAAAAACATACTGTAGAGAAAATCTGTAAATATTGTCAGTGTGGTAAAGTTTTGAAATTTATTTAGGAATAAAACTTTTTGTGTGCAATCAATGTGTTCAAGCCTTTTCATACTACAATAATCTTTGTCTATCTGAAAAAGAGGGCTTATTATTAAGCATTTGGTAAGATCTTTAATCAAACACTTATTGTCAATTACACAAGAGTATGTATTCTGTAGGAAAATATTTGACAGTGTCTACAAACTGTTCAAGCATTATAATGTCCATTTTCATGTTTTTTTGCACCAACAAACTCATTGAAAAAATGAATTTATGATGACAGCTTATGTATAGGTTAAAAGTGCCAGCTACAAAAACCCACTCTGACCCAGAAAACATAGCCAGTGAAAGATGCATCATTTGGCCATGAAATCAGAGAGAAAAACACACCCTGACCTGGTAACCAGAATAAAAAAAAATTCACTGTCTCTGAATTCAGAATCAGTAGGGAAACACACTGACTCTCAAACAAGGCCCAAAATGTTAAAAGGGGCCAGTGAAAGAAACACACTTTTTTGTAGAGGTAACCGTCTTATTAAATAAGAAACACAGAGCCAATGCAAAGATGAAAGCCCAAGAGGTCAGAGCTAAGAGCCTTACCCTTCACTTGCTGCAGCTATCCTTTTCAGCCAAGAGACCTACTTCCTGTGTGTTTGTCTTTACATAGACTTTCTGTTCTGCCTTCTCATTGGTTGTAAACCCAACCACATGACTGCCTCATCACTGCCTTTCTGTACAGACCTCCAGGTCTTCTATGGTTGGTATTGAGATTAAAGGCGTGTGTCTCCATGCTGGCTGTATCCTTGAACACACAGAGATCCGCCTAGCTCTGCCTCCCAAGAGCTGGGAATAAAGGCATGTACCACCACTGCCTAGCTTCTGCGATGGCTTGCTATTAGCTGTGACCCCCAGGCAACTTTATTTATTAACATACAAATAAAATCACATTTCAGTACAAATAAAATATCACCATACTTTTTCCCTGAATCTAAAACCAAAGAAGCACTTGACTAAGCCCAAATCCAACTAATCCTTGAGCATGAAGTCAAGCTAATATCTGAGGTTCTTCAAACTCCAGGATTGAAATCAGACCATTGCTCAACCTGGAACTCTTCTCCGTGGAATAACTTTACCCCTTAAGTGCTGGATATAAGCCCTATGCATGTTCAGTTTGCAGCTGCCCTTTTCTACCTTTGCAGAGACAGTCTCTCTCCCAAATAAATGTCTTGAATGAGTTTTAGTGAAGACCTATTTTTGCTGGAACAGATCAGAAACTCCCTAGTGGATTGCAGCAGAGAAGCAATGGACAACTCTCCTGGGAAAGTTCATTAGGTCATTGGAGAATCCAGTTGTAAGGGCTCTCTCTCAGAGAGAAGAAGTATTGCTACATCCTGTGGAGAGATAATCCCTCACTGGAACACAGCTTCAAGTATAATTTCACTTACTGATTGTCAAAAATTCCTTTCTCCTCACAGATATAGGTATCCAGGATACCTTCTCTTCATAGCTGCAGCTATATCCTGACTTCTAAGTCCATGTACATTTATCTCCAGAGCTATAACACTTGCACTGTGAAGTTAAACAATAATGCAACCCTTTGAGATTTTATACTACTATTCAATTGCATGAAATAGCTAATTCAGGTATAAAACTTTATGGATTTGCATTAGTTCCCTTTCTGTTGTGATATATTGTCTAGGTCAATTTATAAAAGAGTTTAATTTGGCCCTTGGTTCCATAGTGATACAGCACCAACATGAAAGTGGCATGGCCACAAGTGTGAGACAGGGCAGCTAAAGCAGGAAGTTAGGAACTTACATACTTAAACTGCAGCATGAATCAGAGAGTGGGAACTAGAAGTAGTGTGTGGATATAATTTCTGAAAGCCTACCCCCAGTGACATATTTCATCAGCAGGACAGCATTTCCTACATCTTCACAAATGATACCACCAACTTAGAAGGATTGACTTTTCTGGCTTTAATCCTACATGTTAGCTTTCTGTTACATGGTCCAATTCATGATGAAGAAAAACTCTGCAAGCCTTTAGATGCCTCAACACCTGTTACAAGAATTAATGCTTACAACAGAAAAACTTTCATGTACAGTTATTTGTACATTATGTGTATAGTTGTAATTATGTGATATCACTGTGTTTTTGTGTGGGTATGTGATTATGCATTCTGCTTCCTGGGAATATTAGACCCTTGTATCTTGTAGCAGGGATTACAGGGAGTTGTCAAAACTCAGACCTTGGTACTGGGAATGACTATTTCTTAACTTCCAAGTGATGTCTCTAGTACTGTAAATATTTTAAAGCCTGTTTAAATCATTTTGAAGTCAGGAAATAGGGAGAAGCATGTACAAGAGAAAAACCCTACTTATGTAAATGATTTGATAAAGACTTTAGACATCATAGTTGTCTTCAGCTTCAAGGAAAAAAATCACATTTCACCATTGCCTTGAAGGAATTAAATTAACATGTTCACTCAAAACTAATAGTGGAGACCATTGTATTGTGGTTTTTATTTTGAAACGTGATGTTGATGTTAAGATGTGGTATGTGTTTGACAAATCTGTTTAGTGAAGTTTATTTTGTGGTCCTTATAATTCTTCTGTGGCTTTTGTTCATCTTTCATTGTGCTTTTGCATAGTGATAGGTATTTTTCTGATGTAATATATAGAATGAGATTCCCATCACCTAAGTTTGTCCATTGCTTATTTAAATATCAGGCAGCCTGTGATCATACATTTCAAGTAAAGGTGTCTGTGAAAGGATGTTGTGTTGTTCTTCCTGGTTTTGTTTCTCGTATTTCACAAATTCCCTTGAGATTTTGTTGTTTGTTATTGAGCCTGGCTTGGATGTCAGTAATGATTTAGGGGTACATTTGAACTCATGATCCTCATGTGTCCTGCAGAGTACAAGTCTAACTGTAGAGGGTATACTCCCATTGTGTGTATTTTTTTTCCAACACAGTTTAACAATGTTAATGTTAAAATTCTTAATAGAAGAGAATATAAGAAGCATTAAAGGCCTCATTGATGGAAACTCTTAGGAATCCAACCTCTAATAGTCTCCTTCCCCAGGTCTCCAGAAAAGATGTTACCAAGTTTGAGAATAATCTGACAGAAAATAATCTAAGTACAACAAGCTCTTTCATCCATACAACAGCCTGTCTTCAGGTATTTTGAGTCCTCTATAGGTGTTCTGTGCCCTTAGCATGTGGCCTTGTTAATTACCAAGTGTCCTGTGCCCTTAGCAGTGAATCCTGTTCCTTAACATGTGTCCTATTCCCTTAAGAGTTAACCCTGATCTTCTTCAGGTGTCTGATGCTCTAATGAGTTGGCCTCTCCTCTTTGCAGGTGTCCTGCATACTCTTTAGGAGTCCTGTGCCCTCAGCAGGTGACACTTGCCCTCTGCAGGTGTCCTGTGCCCTCAGAAGTTGGCTCTGCTCTTTTGCAGGTGCCCATGTGCCTTCAGCAGTGGCCCTGCATCTTGGCAGGTGTCATTTGTCCTCAGAAGGTGGCTCTGACCTTCTGCAGTTGTCCTGTGCAGTCAGCAGGGGTCTTATGTGGTCTGAAGATGTCCCCAAGCCATTTGTAGGTGTTCTTATACCCTCAGAAGTTAGCTGTGACACACTGAATGTGATTTCCCCTCTCTTCAAGTGTCCTGTGATCTTATCAGGTGTCCTTTGACCTGAGTAGATGTCCCAGGCACTCTGGATATCTTGGGTTCTCTGTGTATGCCCTCATGTTCTCATAAGGTGGCCCAGAATCTCAACAGGTGGACTTCCATCTTATCAGGTGTCCTGTGACTTCAGATGGTTTCCTGTGACTTCTGCAGCTGCCCAAAACCTCTGATTTTTTTCTGTATCCTCTGTAGATGTCCCCATGCCATCACCAGTTTGCCCTGGTCCTCAACAGGTGTCCCTGCCTCTTAGAATGTGTCCTTTGCATTCAGCAGATGCCCTTAGCCCTCTTTTGGTGTATTCTGTCTTCATGTAAGTGTCTACATGACCCCAGTGGGTTTTGCTCAACCTGAATAAGCATCCCTGATCATTAGACATGTCCTGCAACCTCAGCAGGTGACCCTGCCCTTCTTCACACTTCTTGTCTCCTCATAGGTTTTTCTGTCCATCTTCAGGTGACCTGTGTCCTGTGACCTCTGAAGGTTTCCTTTGTCCTCTGCAGATGTCCTGTGTCCTCTTCAGGTTCCCCTACACCTCAGGTTTCTAAACCTGTCCTGTGTCCTCTGCAGGTTCCACTGCCCCTACAGAGGTATCCTGTGCCCTCTGTAGTTTTCCTGTGCCTGTACAGGTAGCCTTGTCCCTCAGCAGGTGTGCCTGACTTCCTGCAGGTGCCCTCTGAGGTCAGCAGGTGCTTCTGTTTTCAGATGTCGCCAAGCTATTGACAGGTGTTCCCATTCCCTCAGCAGGTGGCCCTGCCACTCTGCATGTACCTTTGCCTCTCTTCAGGTGTCCTGTGCCTTCAGCAGGTATCCCAGGTACTCAGCATGCCTTGTGTCCATTGTAAGTGTCCCCATGACCTCATCAGGTCCTCACCAGATGGCATTTTTTTCTTCTTGTGTCTTCTGTCTTTATGTAAGTCCCCATGATCTCAGCAGGTGTTCCCATTGCTTAATAATTATCTCTACTCCTTAAATGTGTACTGTGACTTCAGTAAGTGTCCCAGAACATCTGCATATTCCCATATCTTCTATAAATGTCCCCATTTTTCTCTCCAGTTTGCCCTGGTCCTCATCAGGTACCTCTGCCTCTTAGAATGTGCTATTTGTCCTTAGCAGATGCCCTTGTCCCTCTTTGGGTGTCTTCTGTCTTTGTGTATGTGTCACCATGACCTCAGTGGGTGTTGGCAGTCCTGAATAATTGTCCCTGCTCCTTAAATGTGTCCTGGGATTGCAGTAGGTGCCCATGCACTTATTAGTGTGTACATACCTAATACTTTAACTTATTCTAATTAAATAACTACAGAGATAAACCCAAGCTTGTCAAAGGTTGTACTCATACACAGAGAGCCAGCACCATTTCA